TATATTGACACATATACACATACACATGCACTAACAAACACACACGTGTCCATACATAGACGCACACACATATATATATGTGTGTGTGTGTGTACATATACACACAGTAAGATCATCTAGTTTTCAAGTATAGCTTGAGAGAATATCTTACAAGCATATGACTTCTGACACGAAAAGTTGAAAATGAAAGCCTTCCTATAAGATCTGAAGCAGAAATACATGGCACATGCCGCTCATGTTTACGGTTTGTATAACTCGCCTGAATATCTACGTAAAATACATGCAAATTACCTGTAAGAAACTGTCAGCTTTCTGTAACCTTATACTGCATATGTTCTATAGACAGCTACTTTCGATTTTTAGAGTAACAGAAGAAAAGTACGAGTGTCTATCAGCAATTTTATCCTTGTTCCACACTATATAGTACCGCAGTCTCCTCGATGAGCATGTATTGCATCAGAAAGAGAACATCCAAGCTTCTCTCTCCTTGCTCCTCTTCTCCTTAAGTTCCCAGTCACTTCAGCCTCAAGTCGCACTCCACCTGCATCACTATGAAGCTCGCAGCTCTCAGTCTTCTGGCTGTCCTCTTTGTTGGTGCTTCACTGGCAAATGTACGAATGCGAGATCTGTTGCTTTTTGCAATGATGATGATCTTAGACAACAGTTAAATAAATGAGAACACATTTAACAAGACCCAATGGCTTTACCAGACGGGCACGCTTGCAACACAGACCATATGATCCACACACCTCCCCTGCAGTACAAATCGTTTGTTTAAGTAAGATGTGTAACGGGCAAATCCCAAATTGTTAAATTCCTGATAAATGATGTTTGTATGTTACAACTCATAAATTTCTTTTCCTCAGGACATCGATGAGGACTGCAACAGCGAAGGCGGCTGTCTGGAGAGAGCTGAAGGTAAGGAACCCCTGTCCATAAGGGTTCGAAATTAGATACATGTTTACTGATATGTTCAAGATTTGTTCACTGGTTTATGAACTCATGTCATTGCTATCGCTGACATTTCTCTGTTGATCAGTTCATTCACTATGTGTTATTCATCCTTTCAGACATGGACAGTCCACTCTCGCCGGCCGAGGAAGAGGGCGAAGGCATGGGTAAGGGAAGGCCAGGAAGGGCGACTGCACCAGGAACCCATGCAAGGCTTTGTTTATCTCATTTCTGTTCATGAATATGCTGGCCCGTTGGAGTTTGTTGGTGTGACTAAATCATTTTGTTTGTTTCCTCAGATATCGAGAGCCCTCTAAACCTGCTCGACAGAAAGGGCAAGGGCAAAGGCAAGGGTAAAGACAAGGAAAGGGTAAGGGAAAGGCAAGGGAAGGGCAAGGGCAAGGCAAGGTAAGGGAAAAGGCAAGGGCAAGGGCAAGGAAGGCAAAGGCAAGGGTAAGGGCGACGGCAAGGGCAAGGACAAGGACGACGACGACTGCGACGACACCCCGAAGCAGTGCAGCAACAAGAACGGCAGGTGCATGAGCCGCAGGCAGTCCTGCGCCGGCAACACGGACGACTCCGACTGCAGAGGCAACGACCAAACCTGCTGCATGAAATACCAGTGCAGCAACACCCCGAAGGAGTGCGAGAGAAACAACGGCATCTGCATCAACAGAATGGACAACTGCGCTGGCAAGACGCAGAATAATCTCTGCGAGAACGAGCACTGCACTTGCTGCAAGAAGGACGAGTGCGGCAAGACGTCGTCCAAGTGCTCCAGCAAGAGAGGCAAATGCATCAACATCATGGACTACTGTGACGGGAAGACAGACAGCGATCTCTGCGACGGCAACAACTGCACGTGCTGCTACGATTCCAAATAAGGCATTGACTTGTCTTATCTCAACCTCATCCCTCTCTTCAGCCCCGACTGAGGCTCAAGTTTGAGGGAGATCGCAACGCTTACCTACAGATGATCACATGTGCAATCTATAAGGATGTTCTTGCAATACCTGTGATCTGTGAGTCTCCACTTTCTGTATTTATGTCTGTTTCTGTCCGCACAGTTTTCTGAATAAAGGATATGAAGCGATATTAACATTATCAGATCCTGTGTTTTGCTGTAACAAATATGAATCCATATATCCATATAATATATAATATATATATATATATATATATATATTATATATATATATATATATATACACACACACTCGAGTACCTCTCTCTCTCTCTTTCTTTCTTTCTCTCTCTCTCTCTCTCGCTGCTCGCAGCCTACGTCGACTTCAAGGTGTTTGATTCGGTGCATCGCAAATTGTTATGGGAGAGCTTGAGACTTTGGGGAATTCCAAAATGGATTATTAGATTATTAGCAAGTATATATACTGGTACTGAAAGTGCTATTACGTGTGGTGGGGGTCTGTCGATCTTGCTCCCTGTTAACTCAGGAGTGAGGCAAGACTGTCATTACACCAACACTTTTCAACACTTGCATACATGGATAATGGGCTGACCTTGATATATATCCAGTCACTGTGGAGCAACA